AGGGGGAATGGAGATCAGGAAATGTAAACATGCAGTTTGAACCAGTGAACACTGAATACCTATGGCACTCTGCTAAGTGATGAAACAAAGATAAAATGCTATGGAAACTATTCACACACACACACACACACACACACACACACACCCCTATTTTCTTTTTCTTTACTGAAACCTCAAATCTTGCTCTTAATTTTGAATGTAAAGGTCTGGTTCTCAGGTGACTGGATTCTTTTTTTGCTAAGTGAAGGGGACTCTGGCAGAGTTGGGTGGCTGTCAGGAGCTGGAGCTCACATCAGACGGGCGTTGTCACCCCAGGTGGAAGTGCTGTCTGTGGTAGCTCAGCAGATCCTCTGCATTCAACAAGCCATTGTCCGGAAGCTAAAGATGTTCATCTTTGAAGGCACCGAGCTCTCTCTGAACCCAACCTGTGCTGTCTTTATCACCATGAACCCTGGGTATGCTGGCAGGGCTGAGCTGCCAGATAATCTCAAGGTAAATGTCAACATGTATAAATGCTGGGTGTACTTTATAGTAGGGAAACTTCTGGGGGCCTTGCAGAGAAGCCCAACAATAGGGTAGGTGGCATTTTTCAGCTACGAGAAGCATAGTGGAGTGTCAATGGTGGTCAGACAGTACTTGGCTCTAGAACACAGCCTCCTCCCCAACAAAGTCTCACGGGAAAGGGTATCCATACGTAACAACCAATGGCAGGTGGAAAACAATGAACCCTAGAACAAGATCACTATTTCGATTGTCTACAGGGTCAGACAGGTAATATAAACCAGAGAAGCAAAGTAGGCATGGTAGGGACACTGGTGAATGTCCCACCAGAGGAAAGAGCTTTGTCTTAGCTCCAGCCTACTGTTGGCAAGCAGAAATTGTCAGATCTTCTCATTTGTTCGAAAGAAGCCAGAAACTTGGATTTTTACATGAAATCTCCTCATTTTTAGATTCTGGCTCAATACAAAAAAAGAAAATCACTATAGGCCAAACAAAACTGATATACTTACAAGAGAGCACAAAATTTCAATACAGAGAACGCTGGTAAACTTTGGCTGGGCCACGTGGAGCTTTTCATTCATTACTAAACTGGTTAAGTCTTAGTAGTTTAACCAAAGCAAGCTGTTCCAGCTAGAGAGAGAGCAAGAGTGCACAT